AACATATAGGTCACCACAACTTATTTAATTCAGTAGTCACAACTAGTCACAGTTAACAAAAACATATATCAATATCAATGAATCACATAAATGGTCACATATAGTTACATATTAGTATGTTCATAGTTGTAAATTGAAAATAAAAATTGCATACTACCAATAGTTAATGAGAAAACACACGTCATGCACTGGACAAAATATAGTTTATTTTTAACGGCGAGAAATCTCCGAATATGTTTGGATAAATGTTTCATTAGCTTCGAAAACATCAATTTTTTCAAAATTATAACCTCATATTAAGTAATTATAAGCTTATCTTCGAAATCAAATCACGAAACTTCAATTTTTGGTTCAGGTAAATTCAATTATTCCATAGTCGAGTTTCAAATTTTTCCAATACAATGAAAATTAGAAGTATGTCGAAGAGATTGTGACGTTCTTGATTGATTGCAGCGTGAAATTGATGAATGATAGTGAAATTTTCATGATTTTGCAGCATTTTTGATGAACTCTTTGTATAGAGAGAGAAAATCGTGTTTGATTATGAGTGAAAAGTAATAAATATTTTTAAATATGATATATTAACTAATTTGTAGGAGATTAATATTATATTATCTAATTATATATTTAATATTTTTAATTCTTCACCTGATTTATGAAAGTTTTATAAGAGTTTTTGTGTGAAATATGTTTTTATAACGTGGTAGTTATGTAGTTTTTCGACTTGAAATTGGAACAATCTGGTGAGTTATAAGGTCAAAAACAGTTGTGTTTAGGCCATAGATATTAATTTCAATGGATTTTTTCCCTGTTGAGCCAATTTCATAATTTGGCCAAACCCCTTTATTTTAAACATGCTGTCCACTGTTCATAATGATTTCAACCCATTGAAGACATTCTCTTCCAATACTGGTCTCCCCAACAAAGGTGACGGTAAGATTTCAATTGATCTCCTGTCCTCGATTGTTCTCTCACATCGATCCTGGCTACTCTGTTTACCCCAATTTTTCGGATCGAGATGGCAATTCAAATAAGTAAGTTGTTTGCAATGAAATAGCGGCTAGTCCATTGATTCAATTACCTTCATTCACCATATATTGTTTGCAATGAAATAGCGGCTAGTCCATTGATTCAATTACCTTCATTCACCATATTTGGCATCATCGATAAGGGAATTGCCAAGTGGGAATCTGCCAATAGAGTCTTTCGTGGTAGGGTGGTTGTGCAACTTTGAGATCCTCTATGATATCTCTCAACTTCTGAGTAATTTATTTCCTGTCATAGTTCATCAAAGACCTTCATTCCCTCTGCCATACTGCGTGCCCCCACAGGTTTGTATTGAATATCGGGGAATAGTGTAGATTTAGGTGAACCCTCTTTCATTTCTCTCTTGATCTTGTTCCTTTCTTTCCCCTTCATGATCAACCATTTCAATTCTCCCCAAGTTTGCAAAGTTTCAAAATATAAAGATACTTATGCTAATTATTGTACTCATATATGAATTCACAGAACAAATATTTTTTTTTTTTTTTTTACAAGGTGTCCAATTCTTGACTAATCCTTGGGTCTGTGATCCGGCCCCTCTTCACACAGTCCGGTTAATCGCAGGATGTGCCTCCGACTGGCCAGGGTCCGAGCGCTCCCCACCTGGTCTGACAAAGTGCCAAGCAAGCCAATCCAAGTTGCACCTTGCCTTCCAAGAATAATCCTTGCCTTCCAAGTTCCCACTTGCCTTCCAAGAATAAATCCTTGCCTTCCAAATGTTCCCTTGCCGTCCAAGAATAAATCCTTACCTTCCAAGAGCCCCATGTTTCGAACTCACGACCTCTGCTCTGCCAGGTTTGACAGCGTCCGTCCTTTACCAGTGGAGAAGTGCCCTGGGGGGCTCACAGAACAAATATTACGTTTAATTAAGATTGATTCACATAGAAATATGGGATTGAATTAGGTAAATAGACTCAAATGAGAACTTGAAAGGGGTAAATTAAATACAATAGAATTATTCGATCAATCACTAAATTAGATCTATGAATCTTAAATTAACACTTAAATGTAATCAATAGATGAAATTATTATGCACTAATATCTCATTTCTTATCTAAATCTTAAATTGATCGGTGTGTGTATCTTGCTATTTTCAATTAATATATATAGTTAGAAAAACAATCACAACAATCACAATTCTTTATTTTTTGTCAAATATGAGTTAGAAATATTAAATTAAGTCTCAAAGTATGGTTAACGTGGGAACAATCATCCGGACTCAAAAGTCCACTATATTAGTTGTTATCGTACACTTGCGATATAAAAAAGCACAACACCTTGGACGAGACAAGCATTGCTCAAGCCTGATTATAAAGACTTGACCCATGGGAGTTTTGTGCTTTTATGTGGATTGCATGCCTCTAGATTTTGACCATAAATGGATCTAAAAGTAGAGTAATGTCCCAACCGCTAGGATGACTCATAGATATGCCTACTGGACACAATAAAGCGCAACTCAACTAAACTCAAGATATGGCGGACCTAGACTATATGCTAAAAGGTTTTTGTGGGATGAATGTGACTCAACATAAATTTCAAAGGTTTAGTGTCAAGTACCCAAGGTTCTTGATTCTTATTTATTTATTTTTTTTGATAAACTCAAATTTCGATCTAGGAGGTTTGATTTCGGTTAAAATGGATATCCCTACTTATATATTTCCAAATGTGTTTAATCATCCATTCATAATTAGCATTGCAAGTGAAAATCGCTGTTTTACGCCTAACTCTACTGCTGGACCCCATGTGAGTCGCCTTTCTCTAGGCCATAATAGGTCCATCGATAAGGGCTCGTGTGTCAACTAAGAAAATGCAATGAAATAAATATGCCGTTCGACACGAAAAACATACTTAATACATGTTGAATCAAACATAGCTATATGCTTAAAGTTTATAGTGGGCAAATGTGAGTCGTCATAGATATATAACATAGCTACACAATTGAGTGTGTCTAAGGAAATGTGGAGGTGATAATATGAGTTACGATTGAGGTAGCATGTAACGAATTAGACGTTAATGTCTAATAGAAAAGAGGAGTAGAAATATTGAAGAAGATTTGCAACATTTAGTGGTTTTTTCTTGGGGTGGAAAATCATGTTGTCAAGGAATTTAGCCCATGTTTGTTGCCCATTACTTGGAAAGTTAAAGAGTTTTGAATAATATTTTTTGGAGAATGTATGGTTGGTTTGTGTGTAAAAAATTTTATTATATGAATGTATAGTGGAAAATGATACTGTAGCAAACAATTTATAATTTCAAAGGTGCCAAACGGGCACTTATTGTTATTGTGGAATTTTGAGGAAATATACAAGTTGCAATGGGACTTATTTAGAGTTTCAATTTTAGAGAAGGCTTAAAAGATATCAAAATGTGTTGGATATTAATTCTTAACCTGACTCGCACATGAATAGCCCTGTCCAATTCACCTGTGACGCATATCACTACAATTGGGCAATAGTGGGTCCAGTAAAAATAGAGGCGGAGCCTGCTCCCCGTCTCGGCTTGGGGACCTGTCTTCAACCTTGTCCCCAAGCCGGGACGGGGTTTTATCCAATAGAGGCATATATATCTCCTGGTGCAACTCACATTTGTCGAGTGAGAATAGGAAAAGATTACCAAATGCGGCATGACTACGCACAAGTTGTCTGAGGCCTAGCTTATATGTCAAAAAGATATTATTAGGCGAATATAAAATCTATGTAAATTCAATTACGTTGCTCCAATACTATTCATTTTACTAATTTACAAAGATCTAAAGAGTGCTAAAGGGAGAGTCGCAAAAAAGATAAATTGAGATATGCTGTTCAAAATTTGCTATTCAATTTGCTCTCCACCCATTAAATAATTAGCATAGTATTTTAAATGAATATATCCAACTTTTCTTTCACCACCCTCTATGCTTAAAATAAGGTGGCACTTTAATATAAAATGATGTATCAATCATTCATTAGTGGGCAGAAAATTGGATAGCAAATCTCAACTTGAAGAAGATAGAGATACAATAATATAATTGAAAAAATAATGCTTGTTAGCTCCTGTTTGGCCCCCTTTAAAACTTATCAATTTAATTTAAATTTTTTTCTTTTCTATTTTCAACCACATAATCTTTTATAAAATAATATTTCACATGAATCGAAAACTTTTCATTCTTTTACAACCATCCATTCTTAAAAAAAAAAAAAACACTATTCCCCCATTATAAATCCAAATAATTGGGGTCAAACGGAGGCTTATTGTCAATATCTTGAAAAAAAAAAGTGACTTCTATAAATATTTCCTCTTTTTTTTTTTTACTACGAATTTATAGTGAAGTGCCCACATCGGAATCATATTCGATAGATCGTCTTTCCATTTCTTATCTTCCATAACAGCTATTAATTATACCCTTTTATTATGTCTGTCCAATTTATGATTTTATTCATTTCAAATTAATGCATATAAAGATCTAGTAATTTTATTAAAAAAAAAATATATATTGAACCCCAATCTTGAGGGCCCCCATCGCCCCGTCCTTAAAGTATCGTGAGGGAGGTAAATCGCGGAATATGCCTTAGCAGGCCAGAGAACAAGAGCTTGTCTGTAGACTGGTACCCACAAAGAGTCTAATTCCATATCTCAGGAATCGAACCCTCACATTGCGACTGCCAGTAAGGCTGAAACTATCTCACTCCTATCATTTGCACTACTGAAATTTGCCTCGAAGGCTCCAGTAATTTTATGGGAAGTGCAAGTGCTACATGTACATAATAATCTACATAATGGTGTACATAATAACACGTGACACTGGACCCAACATTTAATTCAAATTTCACACATGCACGTCAACAATCGAATGATTGCCACATCACATTATGAACATCATTATGTGCAATAATTATGTACAAGTAGAATATCCAAATTTTATACATGCATGATTGAACAGACACGGTCTAGGATGTTTAACACACACACACACACACTGACCAAGCCTTTTCTCTCCCTTGTAATTTTTTCTGTGTTGTAAAAAAATCAAATCGACGGCTTTTTTGGCGAATCTCATCTCTCTCTCTCTCTCTCCCCCTTTTATTGCTCTCGATTCAATTTCTGTTTCAATTTCAAAGGCCAAATTTTGTCTTCTTTGATCTTGACCATTTGTTGCAGTATTTTTTATTCCAGACTTTAATTTCTCTATTGACTTTGGAAAATTGTGCAATGGATAAATGCCTTTTATTGGTTTGATCTTTTGTTTTTCATGTTTCAGTTATTATTATTATTATTATTATTATTATTATTATTATTATTATTATTATTATTATTTCGTTTAGTTCGTTTCTTGGAATTTATTGAAAATTCTGGCTTCTCTGGGCAGGAATGCAGGGGATTTTTTGGAATTCTTATATAATCTTGAGCTCTGATTGATCTACTTGAATTTGTGGGTTTTCAAGCATTCGAAGTGTCTTTTACATTTATAATGGATAATGGATATTGAAGTTCTACCTTTTTTAGCTTTTTTATTACATTATAATAATAATAATTATTATAATAAGTTTATACTTTCTGTGTTAATATTTCTTGTGTTAGGGCCATTTAAGGAGAAGGGTATTCATAAATTCTATCACTTTGTGGGGTTGGAAGCTTATTGTTGTATTCTCAGTGTGTAAGCAGGTGAATTTTCCCAATTAAAGAGGACGAATTTTATGGGCGAAGAAGAAGATTTAGTGGTGAACTTAATTAGATTGTTGAAAGCTTTGTGCTTTGCGTATTTTGAGCTTCCCAATCAACGGGAATATGACGTAATTTTTCATGTTGGAATTTGAACTCTTGGTGAAGGGATAATTCATCTGGATTGAGTGGAGAATTAGAGCGTGTGAATCTAAAGATCTCGCAAGGATTTTTAATAGGGATTTCTGTTACCGATCCAAACACGGAAAATCGGAGTTGTGACTGTGTTGCTGTTATGGAGTGCATACTGAATATAATCAGGACCCTAAGAATGGGGTCCTGCTTGTCCGGGGATAGCAGGAGCCCCCAACCTGGTTCTCCTGTGGGGTTAAGGAAGAGGAAGGGCTCGAAGAAGAGGCTTGGGTCTCGAAATTCGTCCTTTGACTATAAGAGGGAGGAACAGCTACATAGGATACCAGGGCGTATGTTCTTGAATGGATCAAGTGAAATTGCATCACTCTTTACCAGACAAGGCAAGAAAGGAACCAATCAAGATGCCATGATTGTTTGGGAGGTTATCTCCTCCCCCTTTATCTCAATATGATTAGTTTGAATAAAATGAGAAATCGAGAAAAAAATTAATTGATTTTAATACGCTAGATTAATATTAGTCAAATAAAGCTGGTTTGCCCGAAAATTTTGACACCTCGGTTGACCGACGCTCACATTTATGCGTGGGTCCCACATGAATTAAAAAATGCCGATCCCCTATGTGTGTGTTTTCGGTCATCTCCTATGTTCGTGTAGCAAATCTCATATTATTCAATTTATTGATCATATTCATGCTTCACGAATTTCAGAGTATTGCTCTGGTTTTGCTTTCTGCAGCCTGCACAGTAGTTAGTTGGCGAATTGAATA